TAATAAATGTAATGACGTCAACTGTAAAAGTTTGAGCTGATTAACTTCAATTTTTTGAGTTACGGCTAATTTTATAAAACGCCAAAATTCTAAAAAATCCCTGTACTACAGCCCATGGTTTTTTCCAAAAATGACTCCAAAATTACCCCCAATTTTTATTACATTTTCTAATACATATTGATGTCCTTATGCTGTGTAGAAAGTTTGAGCCAATTCCGACTTCAATTTTTCGAGTTATGGCCAGTTTAAAAAAAACGCCAAAATTCTGAAAAAATCCCTGTACTATAGCCCATGGTTTTTCCCAAAAATGGCTCCAAAATCACCCCAAATTTTTATTATATTTTCTAATACATATTGACATCCTTATGCTGTGTAGAAGTTTGAGCCAATTCCGACTTCAATTTTTCAAGTTATGGCCATTTTAAGAAAACGCCAAAATTCTGAAAAATATCCAAGGCTATATATAGCCTATGCTTTTTTCCAAAAAATGGCTCCAAAATCACCCCCAATTTTTATTACATTTTCTAATACATATTGATGTCCTTATGCTGTGTAGAAAGTTTGAGCTGATTCCGACTTAAATTTTTCGAGTTATGGCCATTTTAAGAAAACGCTAAAATTCTGAAAAATACCCTGTACTATATATAGCCCATGGTTTTTTCCAAAAAATGGCTAAAAAATCACTCCCAATTTTTATTACATTTTCTAATACATATTGACGTCCTTATGCTGTGTATAAAGTTTGAGCCAATTCTGACTTCAATTTTTTGAGTTACGGCCATTTTAAGAAAATGCCAAAATTCTGAAAAATACCCTGTACTATAGCCCATGCTTTTTTCCAAAAATGGCTAAAAAATCACCCCCAATTTTTATTCTATTTTCTGATACATATTGATGTCCTTACGCTCTGTAAAAAGTTTGAGCCAATTCTGACTTAAATTTTTCAAGTTATGGTCATTTTAAAAATAGGCCAATTGCTGAAAAATGTATTTTCTAAACTTATGTGCTTTGCTTTGAGTGTGTGGTACATCTTCTCCAACGAATCTCTCATTTCCTTCGTCTTCAATCGACTCATTCTCTAATAGTTTCAACTCCTCCTCACTCACATTAAATATCTAACAACAAAAAATAAATAAATAAATAAATAAATATTTATAATTAAAATAAAGTAAGTGGTGTGGTCTTACATCATGAACATGAGCAGCCATTATTTCTACAACTTTTGCTTGATAGCTCATGTTGGCTAGTAATTCAAGTGAAGGTATCATCTCTCTATAAAGGAAAGGAGACAGAGTATATGTACATGTACATTTATTAGAATGGGGCCCCTATATAATGGACACTTTTGTACAGTAAAGCGTCTCTGTTATACAGAGGTGTCTTTTATGTGGAGGTTATTTTATACAGTAAGGAATGTAATTCGTACACTAGGTGCTGTCTGTTAAATGGAGGTGTACGCTATAGAGAGTGTCCATTAAGAGAGGCTACACTGTACATAATAATTATTTCTAGTTCCTTACCTTTGTTGCAGTAGATTAGGTCCAAACACAATACCAATGTTACTGGGAGGCATACAGTTAGTTTTAACATGCTCTGGACTACTAACTCTGTATGAAGAAAGGGAACAAGTGGTGAGTAGTATAGAGAGACTTTAATGGTAACAGGAAACAATGAAGCAAACACAGTATTATATTATACTATAATTTTAAGTGTTAAATTAGTGGATATTTCTATAAAATAAGCTGCTTGTATATTTGTATATACATGTACAGTATCCAATTATTAATCATTATTATTAAGAGAGAATACTTGTGTATAAGTACTATAATATATTTCAAATTTGTTCTAATTTCAAACAGAAGTTGTTCTTGAATTCCCTTACCTGTGTAAATGGTACATTAGTCTAGCGAGTG